GTATTATACTTTATGAATCATATCAGAGTTTTATAACTCTACAGCAAAAAAAAAAAGATCTGTATCTACTGTAACGGATACACTGTATCCATTGTAACGGAAACACTGTATCCATTGTAACGGATACACTGTATCCATTGTAACGGAAACACTGTACCCGTTGTAGTCCATAAGAACTTGATATTACTTTATTTTTGTACTACATTTCAGCTTCATACAGAAATGTCCTATATATAACTGTTTTTAATTTCAACAAGTTTTATGCTTTTACTAGATACAGGAATCCAAGAACAATTACTTACTACATACAGGAATCCAAGAACAATTCTATCAATAACTTATACTTCTAGGAAGGGTATTGTTTTATAAGCAATCAAATAAAATTTTAATATCATTAATGTCAAAGTTAAGGTTATCATAATTATTAAATTATTAATATCATTATATTTTGCGGTTCAATGTATACGCTAATGCAAATGAATATAAGTTGACATAATTAACTTAGATACGTGTGTTTCAATGAAATACACGTTTTTATATTATTTAAGACGTGCATTTCTTTAAAGACGATAAAAAATAGCTTTACTAAAAAAAATTTATTAAGAATCCTTAGATCCCAAGCAGCAGAACTCATAATAATCAAATGTTGTTCTGACGTTGAACAATAACTTACGACAACAACTAATAATCAAATGTTGTTCTGACGTTGAACAATAGCTTACGACAACAACTAATAATTCAATGTTGTTCTGACGTTGAACAATAACTTACGACAACAACTAATAATTCAATGTTGTTCTGGCGTTGAACAATAACTTACGACAACAACTAATAATCAAATGTTGTTCTGACGTTGAACAATAACTTACGACAACAACTAATAATTCAATGTTGTTCTGACGTTGGGACAACGTAGTTTGCTGCTCAGGATGTTGCATAAAAATTTGCATAACTTTATTTATCTTTTAGGAAAAATTTAGCAAAGTATAAGTTATAAATAAATATAATTTTTTTTATTGTAATGTCAGTACCTTTTTATAAACATATTTTTAATTTTTACTTTTAAATCCTTTGGCTCTTGTAGCGGTTTAAAAACTGAAATATTTTTTTCAAAATATGAATCTGTCATCTAATGTAACAAAAAAAAATTCTTGTGATGATGTCGGCTTCAATAGTTACGGCCATTACAACTTAGGATATTTTTACAGTTTCAAAATTATTTCTAGAAAACAGACAACTTTTGATTTTTCAATTTTCATTTCTTTGGTAAAATCTGTGACGTAAATTAAGATTATTTTACTTCCATCTTATTTTACGTCCTTGGATAACATAGGCAAGTTTACAAAGTATATGAAACAAATAATATTCCAGTTTTTTAAAAGTATGACTTAAAACAAAATTGAGCAAAGTTGACTCAAATTTGGATCAGTTCATTTTGACCAAAATCAAAAGAATTTGAATTCTTTCAATTTTTTCAACATAGCCGAATAACAAAAACTTAGTTTGCCTTTGTCATTGTGTCTATTATACAAAATAAATATGTGAAAAAGAAGGTGACATTATTATATTTGCTACTGTCTGGTTTTTACAGATAATGGCTCTGAGGTTGTAATTTATGAATAATTAATATTACAACACGCAATAATGTAACTATAACATACCTTGTATTGGTTTCGAAATATACAATCAGGTTTTTCTTGTTTTTTTGCCAATGGCTAGGACGTTTAAAGACGTCTATAAACAGTTAAATTGTCAAATAGTAGGGTTTTCATGTAGTAGATTGTTAATCCTTTTTTAAAAATTATATACACCTTTTTTAATATTGTTGTTTAAAAAATTCCTTTGAAAGTCAATACACTTTCAAATTTGACTTTTGTTAAAACTTTAACAAAAAAAACTAGTTCCTATTTACAACATGTTAGGTCTTTATTGGCCATTTTAAAAAAAAAAAAATTTTAAATGGCCAATAAATTTTAACAGTTCTCGATTATACTGATGTTTTTTAATATAAAATCACTAAAATCATTTTGTTTATGCTCAAATGATTATAAACGTTATTTTCAGTGAATCGTATACTTCAAGTTAGCTGACCAAAAATATTTTCTTCTACAATTAGATTGTTCTGGCCATCAATGGTTTAAGTAATTAATACCTTTTTGTTTTATTAAATAATTATCAAGGATTTAAAAACTTAGAAGTTTGGGAGTTATTTGTAATAAAAAAAAATGAAGTATGAAATAATAGATGTATTTAAAAAGCAAGCATACATAAAATTGTACAATAAAATTTAAATTTAATCGTCAAAAAACTCATCATTTGAATCTTTATAAGACTCTTTTAAAAAAATCTTGTATTTTCAAAAAAAAAATACGAATTGCTATTGCTTGAGACGGGACAATTAAGTTCAAAACTTTCAGTGTTTTGAACTTAATTGACGAATTTGAAATGTGACTTAATTGTCACATTTCAAATTTGTCGCTTATTTTTACTGGCAGCTCTCTAAAAATTGATAAGGGATCAAATGTTATTAATAGCATATTTAGCAAATCTATATTTATAGAAATACTTAACTGTTTCCTCTAGAATGGAAAACTCAAATGGAGTTTCCTAAATCTTAGATTCTTCCGAGAGCTGGTCAATTGGATTAATACGCAACATTTTAACTTCCGTGTCCTGCATTAAAATTATATGCTCTGTAACAAGAATTTTGTACCACGAATATAAATCTAGATAAAAAGTTCTTGTTTCAACAAAAAAGGTTTTTCAATTAAAACAAAATCAATATCATGGCTAGAATATAGGGTTTACCATAAATTTTTTTAATTTATTCAGTCTAATCATGCAATCTCTGCGTTAGTAATATATATTTTTGCATAAATAATATTTCACAGAGTATTTATAAAGATAGATTTATATAAAGAAACTATGCAGCCCACCAACAGTAGATGGTGCGCTATAGTAGCGCAAGCTTAACCTGTCTAGTAAAACCTTAAATTCATAGACTGGTGTTTTGGTGCCATTTGGTAGATTATTCCACTCCTTAACAATTCTGTTTTTAAAAAAATTATCTCAAATATCTTACAATCTCTCTAAAAAAATTTTCTCATATTTTCTTTAAAGGTGAGTTCCGCTCTACTATTTCTAAATGGTTTTCTAGCTTAAACATTTGAATCAGATCTCCGCGATTTCTTCTTATTTCAAGCGTTGTTAGATTAAGTCTATTTATTCGCTCTTTATACTCGCAACTTTCGTCGCTCTTTGCTGAACTTGTTCAATTGTTACAGATGTTACAGTTATCTACTTATAGATCTCGGTCTCCATGCAGGCATTGTGAATTCTAGAAGCGGGCGGATATAAATAAGCAGCCGTAGCGCACTTGCCTCAGAATCAAAGGATCCGTAGTTCAAACCCCACCTCAAGGCAAGTTTGCAACATCGGTTAGGAAGAAGGTGTGAGCTTTCTATTAAATGCTCATCCGCGGTGCTCTGTGATAAGACCGTAGGGACTTCTTGGGGCACCTAAATAAAAAAAAAGAACAGAAAAATAATTTAAGTGAAGAATCAGAAGATGTTTTATCGAAATAAGCGACGAATCATTTTTGAAAAATTTTACTTTAATTAAAAGTTTAGCTATTTTATTCAATATGACTTGAAGTTTAATTTTAGCTCGCGTTTTTGACAGAGAAATAAAGTCTTCTGGAAGACACAACTTTTTGAATTTAAACAAATTATGGTTAGACGGAAATACTTCGTCGTCTGCTTTTAGTGACCACTTTTATTTGCTTGTTTATAAGAGTGAATATATATTATAAGCAAAACAAGCAGGACTCCTGAAATCTACATAATAAGCTAATGCCTCATTACTACTCACCTGTCTGCCACCATAAATCACATTAATAGATTTTCTTTGTTGTGATGTTTCTGTACTTTATCTAAAAAGAGCAGCTACATTTCTTTGACCCAACAAACGAAATATTATTTTTTCAGGTGTGATTAATTCACTAGCACTCCGCATTTGCACTAAGCCTGCAGTCATTTTTAATTGCTTTTTAATAATGAATCTTTAAAGTTTTTTTGGACTTTGAGATTTCGATATTGTGGAATAATACACTCAGTCAGAAAAAAATTAGATAAAATTTAAACCGGCAGAAAAAACTAATTTATAAAAATTTTTATTCTTGAGCACCTTAAGATTTTAGTTATGCTATATAAAAAAATTAGCCTGGATGTGGATACGTTAGCTTAATGCTTTAGAAATTACGAAATAAAAAAAAAATTGAGATTTTTTACATAGTGTTTTTAAAATCTACTTATTTGAATTATTCTGTTAATAAAATACAATGGAATACATGTAAAGTAAAATCCATCACAATAGCAAAATGATTTCTCTATTAAAATTTTGTTAATTACAAGCACTGTAAATTTATAACTAAAATAATTTCATAAATAAATTTTACCGTCACTTTTAATTGCTCTAAAATGTTTGTCATAACTAACAACTCAAGTTGTTACCGATGAGGAACTGCTCATGTGAAAATATCATTATTTGTTCTGACTTTTGTCCACCTATCTTGTATAAAGCAGTTTACTGTGTGCCGGTTCCGGCCGTCCAATAACAGTTTGTTACAAAAAACAATTTTGCCCTGAGAAAATATCATTTTAACTAAATTCGTTAAAAAATATATTGATGTGCTAAATGTTTTCTCATGTTTTTCTTGAAATAAGAATATTCTGGTTTTAGAACTTACTAGGTAAATGCGGCGATTAGAAATATACGTTATTATCTCAATCAAAAAAGTATAAAATAAATTCATAGCGTATAAATGTAAAATGGTCCAATGAGAGGCTTTTATTGCGCCAGTATGCATTAGCATGTAGTAGTACTATTGAAACAAAACAAAAAACACGTTTGCAACTTTATAACAAAATGAGCAAATTAACTTTAAGTAAATACTTCATTTTTAAATAAAAAAAAAACATTAAATAAAAAAGTTTTGTAAATAAGAATTTGAAATTCCTTGTTATGATACAATATAATATACAATAATCAAAAATATTTAAAGTTTGAACAAAATCAGTCTTCGTCTGAACTTGAAGTTGAAAGAAGATTTATTTGATCCAATCGATAAAAGTCAGAAACATTCTGAAAAAATTATGCGCATAAAATAAATATATATATAAAAGTTTACCGTGTTAATATTTTAAAATTTACCATATTTATATTTTAAAAGTTTAATTAAATATCATATTACTTATTACATAGATTAGAATTTTGTAACCAATTTTAAAAAACAATAATTTTTTTTTGTACCTCTGCACCATAGTAACGCACTTTCTTTAACTTCCTTTTTTTGATGCAGTTATACAACAGAATAACAAAAGTAATGGTTAAGGCACCAATCACACCAGACATTATTGGAATTATTATGTATGAATACAAATACCGAAAATTCTGAAAAAAAAAAAAATTTATTCAACAAATACGCATAAATACAAAGATAAAAGCTTTTTTGATCATATCACCCGTATTTAAACAATTTTTTTTAACTAATGCAAAAAGTAACTGAAAAATTATAAAATATGAGATGTAAGTTGTAAATAAGAGAATGAAAAGTATCGTGTATTATATTAATTATCATTGATACCATTCAAATGAAATATAGTGATGACTTAAAGATTGTTCTAAATAAAGTTTTATTGAAATTTTAAAAGCGATTCCTTATGAGGTTTTTTTTTCACTTTATTCATCTTAGCGCAACCTTTTAAATTTTTACCGCGATTTCATACTCAACGTATAATGTGCACATAAACATGCGAATTTCAGGATTGTGTAAAATTTAGTATATTTTGAGACGGTCACTCACAAGGGTAAAGTTTTAATAACTTGAAAAAAGATTAAAAAATAAGTATACTTTATCTTTGTTTTCTTTATCTTTCTCTTTAGACTCTAAAAATGAAAATTTTTGATATCAAACTAAAATCATCAAAAAAAAAGATAAATAATATTAAGAACAAAATTTTGTGAAATATTGATCGAATTTAAATTTTTTTTTTTTTTTTTGTTAGAAATGTGATTGAATTAATATGACTATATAATTGATAAAATATATAAAATAAATAGATTATCGGCAAATAGCGTGACCAGGCGTCCTGGTTTTCCGGATTTTACATAAGCTGTCCCAGGTTCCCATTTTTTACAATTCTAATATAATCTTGTATTTTATTTTACGTCTGACGACGATTTGAGCTAATCAGACTTAAATATCACATGAATAAATTAAAAATTAGTACTTAGCTGTAATTTATGATTTATGATTAAATAAAAAGGGATTTTTTAATTTTTAAATGCCAGCGCATTAATTATCGGCCAGAGTTATTGTAAACAAGGTTTCCGTTGAAACCAAGTGAAAAAACAAACAAACAACCGTAAACAAAGCAGACAATAAAAAATTTAAACTAAAGAGTTTTATAATTACAAATTTTATTGCATTAGCATCTTTTCTAATTCAATTTTGTAAAATCAATAAACGAGTGAAAGAACTATTTCTGCGTATAAAGCTATTTTTAAACTATGGTCATTAATTAGAGAATTTCCTGCTTTTAAATTTAAGTATGTATGTATGTAAAAAGTCGGCCCTCTTTTGTCCCGATTTAAGGCCCTCGGAGATTACTAACCAACTAATTTCGACAGCCTTTAGCAAATTTTACCTTTATTTTATCATACTTTATTTTGTGTTCCGGTTTGTCTTTGTAAATATGGGCACACTATTGATAAACTTGTTTATTGCATATATATTTATTTATTACGATATTCTTTAATCACAAAATATCAGTAAAGCTGTTAAATTTTAGGGGTTTTTTAATATTTTTTTTCACTTATAAATAAATTTGTTATTATTATGTTAAAAAGAATTATTAAAAGTAAATAACAAACTAATCTTTAGAATATTTAACATGTTTCTAATATTAGAAAGCTGTTAAATTTTCCTAAGCTACCTCTTAAGCTACCTCTTAAACTACCTCTTAAGCTACCTCTTAAGCTACCTCTTAAGCTACCTCTTAAGCTATTTTCTGGTTATTTAGTTAATTTTGAATGTTTTATTTTTACAAAAGTTTACATATAGTAAGATCATCTTATTGTAATATTGTTGCTTTTAACTACAAAATTTTATCTAAAATATTCGTATTTCAAATATTTTTAATAAAATAATAATATTAAATTGCAATTAGTAATCATTGAACACTAAATGTAAAGTGTTTTTATTATAATAGGAAATCCTTCAAACTTTGCTCCCTAAAGTTGCCAGTTCAGCTTAATACTATTACTTTTATTTTAAGGTTACTACACTTGACTCACAAAAATAGATAACTTCTTTAAAATTTGGATCAATATTAGTTGTATAGGTCTCTTGACTGGGAAAGCAGTCAAAAGACCTATAGTTAAATTAGAATATATATATTTTTATAGGTGTATTATCCATTAATCAAACTAGCCAACTGCCTATTTTGATTAATGGATAATACACCTATAAAAAAGTTAATATAAATTTGAAATTAAACATAAATACAATTATATACGACAATTTATTTTTATAATATAAAGTTTATAAGCTATAAAATTTTCTATAAATTTATAATATATAGGTTTAAAAGTATAGATATAAAGCAATAATATTTTTATTTAATAAAAAAGTTAAAATAATTTTATGAAAGTTTAGAAAACTATAAATTTTAGTATTTGGGATAAAATTTTAAATTTGGTAACTTTAAGCTATTTTAAATTTTTTTCAAATTCTTTTCAATCTAATAGTAGACTGGCGAGCCAATTTCCGATTTACAATTAATAATTATTTTTTTGCAAAACATCCTTATTTCACATAGTTGTACAAATACAAATATTTATATATTAATATATATTAATCATATATATATAAATATATATGATTCCTGTAAGTTGCATAGTATTCCAGAAAGTAAATAAAATACTTTTAAAAATTTTGATACAAAACATAAATATTGTTAATACCTAAACTACTTCCATACCCATTTTCATCTGGAAGTCGAATATTCATATCTGAAATCCAGTTGACGCTAAAATCTGAATGGATGTTGGTAAAACGAGATTGATTTACTACTGGAGTCGAGGAAACTAAATAAGTCATCTCCATAGTTAAAGTTGGCTTTAACAGACGTGATGTACTTTCTAAGATAAAATTTTTTTCTTCTTGTAGTATCTTGGTCTTATTCCTATTTAAGGAGAAATTTAAAATCTTTATGGATGGAATAATTACGCTACTAACATATGCTGATGTAATGCTTACACTGTTGTATGTGTTTTTAATGGATGTATCTTTTCTGCTTTCTGAGGTCATTGATTTGATTTGATAACTTGTCTGAGTAGAAAAAAACACAGTGGACAAAATACTACTTTGTGAAGTTGCAGAGCTTATCGAACGATTAGAGATGGCATTGCTTGTTGCATGTGCTTTTGATGGCATAATAACGTCAATTGATACTTTTGGTTTTAATTGATTATGTTCTTTTATTTCCTCAATTTGAGTTGGATCTTGAAGTAAATTGTTTTCTTCGTCATTGTATTCCGATGGTTGAAATTTAAAAAACGGTATAGTTTTAAAAATATCGTCTAATGAATTGCTATTTTTGTCCCAAGAAACCTTTTGGTCATCATCACTTAAGAAATCTTCAGTTAATATGCTACCATAACAATAACCTTGTAATATTGTCAAATAAAAAAACAATTTCAATTTCATTCCTGTTTTATTCATAATCTTATATAGCTGCATAGCTCTTAATGTTAGTTATGTAGCTGCATAGAAGTTCTTTAAAATATATAAACAAATAGACATCTTACACTTTTTTTTATTTGAAGTTGTAACCCACTACACTTTCAAATAATTTTTCAATATAACTTTAGATAAATAGAAAAGCTTATTTTAAAAGTTTTGAATCAATGATGCGTTAAGTTTTTTGAGTAAATGCACCTTTGAATGATATAAAACTTTTTTTTTTTAAATGCTCAACTAAAAGATCAATAAAATATTTTCTTTTAATATATATATATATATATATATATATATATATATATATATATATATATATATTTTTTGTTTGTTTGTTTGGTTTTTTTTGCAAATAAGATTGTCACACAACGAAATGTTGTTCTTATTTTTTGAAATTAGTACGGACTTACAGCAGTGTTGTCAGTTTTAATATTTTTTACAGTTAGTACCAGGTTTCTTAAGATTTTTTATGGTTACAGCTCAAAATCTTTCTTCGTTTTCTTACAATTTCTTATTTTTTATACTCCGTTTTATTTCTTTACTATTTCTGTTTTTATACTCCGTCATAATTTTCTACTGTTTAAGTAACTTATACCATAATTGGTATACTTTCCTGAAATCATCTAAAGTGTTTCCAGTTTTATTTACAACTACAGACATTGCTCGTGAAACAATGCTAATAGTTTCAATTGTTTTTATTATAAGATGCATCATGAAATTAATTTGCTAGGGTTAAGGATCTCATGGTTTAAAGGTTACAACTTTTAAGGCCTTAGCACATTGCAAAAATATTTTTGAATTTCCGTTAGACAAATAGAAGTTGTAAATGTATATTAGACAAAGTTGTACAATTTTATCTAACGGAAATTCAAAAATATTTTTGGAATCAATCAAAAATTGTTTTGATTGATTGCAATCAAAATAATTTTTTTCATTTGAAAATCAAAGTTGTATGCTGCCTCACGTTAAAAATAACCCTTAAAAAAATAGAAGCTAAGGACCCATTTCACCCTGAAGTTAGCCTAAAATATGCCCAAGTTGAACGTCTTACCTAACCAATAAACGAAAATTTTAAATATTACACCTGAGTTTTATTTATTTTTAATTAATTGCCACAGTTGTCTTTAGTAGAAAAGATTAGATGGCTTTATTGTTCAGCTTATTTTTTATTAGATATTTTGTTTTTATCAGTTTCTTTGACGAAGGTTTTTTCTTGCTTTCGTATACTTTCGTTCTTACTAATAACTTTTTGGATTTTTTTGATATTATTATTGTCTTTGTAACTTGCTTATTTTTCAAATTTTTGCATAGACTACTTGTCAAAACAGCAGTAAATTTCTCCCTGTTGAAATTTATTTTTTTCGTGGAGTAGTAACTTTCAGAACTTCTCTTAATGGAAAATAATAGTTTTAATTGAAAATGGCGGCATAACAAGCTGTGAAGAGTAGAAGTTTTGTGCCAGAACTTAATTAATATCCTGCATTACAATGTTTGAGGCCCTGAAGCCCAATGAGAAGATCCTCATTTTGAGCATTATCTAGAATCTACTTTGTTGTAAGTGATAATGTTTTTCCTGGGCACATTTTTAGTGGCAACTGCAATAAAATGTCATTTGATAGTAATCGTCTGTGAAAACGAGTGATACAATGTCTTTTAAAAATAATTATTAGTAGTATGCAAGATGATAGTACATTAAACTGATTACATGCTTTTTTTAATTCCATTTCTTTCTTTCTCAAAAGCTCAATAGTTGTTAATATAATCCCTTACTTCATCACTATTTTTCTGATATATTTCCCTATTTCTAAAACTCTTTTGTTTTGATAAATTGTATTAAATTTGTCAAACAAATGAAACTATAAAAAAAAGGTCGTTTTTGTAATATATTTGTTTTTTTCTCAATCATCGCTCATAAAAACCTAGGAAAAGTTTGATAAAAATCGGAAATAACTCATTTATAAGTAAAATTAAAATAAAATTAAGAGAAAATATAGTCCGGATTTTTTACGAAGATTTTACCCAAAAAAGTTTCCAACAATTTGAGTTTGCGGTTGATATAAGATCGTGTACAATATAAGTATAATATAAGAAAATTTTAAAAATTTTGTCAGTGGATTTAAACCCACAGAAGTGTTAAAATGGTAGCCGTGAGGTCAGTGCACTTAACTACTGAGATATCGAAGATATAGGACAAAAAAAAATAAATAGCTGTTTTATAAATTTTTTATACCTTTTTTAGTTTTTATTTTATTTTCATTATATAGCGAGAGGCTAAAAAAGTGTTAAGCTTTTTATAAAATTTTTTGAATTAAGTTACTATTTATACATAGTTGATACTTAATTATATAGTAATGTATTCTTGTATTATTATTAGTTTTATTAGTTTATTAGTTTATTTCGCCGTTAAAAATATTCACAAAGTACAACAATATAAAAAGTACAAATGGCTGGAGCAAGAAGAAGGCATAAAATAGTCTTATCACCGAGCCCCAATAGTAACCCAAATAAATATCCGCAATATATAATAATCCGTAATATATAAGCAAAAGCATTTAAAAAAAGACAATTTTAAAATGTTAAGAAACAAAATTTAAAAGAAAAAAAAAAAAAAGTATTAAAATAATTGAAAAAAAAAAAAAAAGAAAAAGAAATGATTAAAATATAGTAATAAAAATGACAAAAATTTTCTGTTTTTGGTTATAAATTGGATGTGATTCGATATATATATTTGTATATATTATTTTCTTTCAAAATAATTCAAAATTCAAATAAAAGCTACAAAATAAAAATTCTGTTCCAATATTATAAAATATGTTAAGAAAATTGTAAGTAACTTTAAGAGAATATATATTTTCGATGAAAGTTTGATAAAGACATTGAAATTCTTAGTATTTTTAAATGGTCTAGATTTTCAAATTTATGGTGCTAATTTAGTTTAATAAATTTTAAAACTTTAATAGTGACATAGAAGATCTATTAAAATCCGTAAGTACTAAATAATGTCTTAATTATAATACCGTATAACTTTTTAAATAAAAATAAGTAAACAAAAAAAAAATACTTTAATTTTTTTAAAATTGAAACGTTTGTATCTTTACGAAATTGCTTATCCGCTAAAAATACTAATAACATTCATTAACTTTTTAGGTTTTCTAACTTAAATTTAAAAAAAACGGTAAAAATTGGTGAACCGCTAATAAATACCAATTCGCAATACGGTACCGAAGTGTTAAAAATTCGTTCAAATTAATTTTACTATAAAACTATTTTATTTTAATAACCTTGAAAATAAAAAAGAATATATATATATATATATATATATATATATATATATATATATATATATATATATATATATATATATATATATATATATATATATATATATATATATATATTATATATATATATATATATATATATATATATATATATATATATATATAGAGAGAGAGAGAGAGAGAGAGAGAGAGAGGTAATTTTTAGCAAACAGATATCTACCTAAAAGGTTAAATAAGTTAAATATATACTTTATGTAAATTTTGGACTATTTTCAATCCAAAATTTACATAAAGTATATATTTAACTTATTTAACCTTTTTGGTAGATATCTGTTTGCTAAAAATTACCTCTATATAAAGTTCACAATTAAAACAAGTAAGTCTAGCCATTAGTGGAACTAGTGTATACGGTAAACGCATGTGAATACCCATCTCACATGAATCCCATGAGTTACACATAGAACCCATGTAAGAGACGCGTTGTGTTTCAATAAGAAATTACTTAAAGCCATTTAAGTATTGTTACGTTTATAGTACTTCCAATAGTAATTTTAATAATTTTTACATTTTTTTTAGTATGAATTAAAATGGAGACTTACCTATCAACCTCACATTTTACTTATATGAATATTTTTTGTGAAGAATTTGATGTAGTTCACTTTGTTTATTCCATCGATATGTTGATCATATTCTTTGTTGAAAAGGAAAAATTATGTCGTTTAAGTCTAACAGATAGAATTAAAATATTTAACATAGCTACCTCGCCATAATCGTCTTTAGCTTTGTAAATTAATATAGTCTTAATAAGAAGGTCGTCCACAAATTATGTCAAGCAATTTTTGACCGTTTTTTACCCCCTCCCCCACCATTATTGTCACAATATCGTAACTTTTTAGTTACAAGTTCCGAACGAGTTGTCACAAAACCACTAATCCTGTCCCTCCCCCCCCCCCCCAACTTGACGTAATTTATGGATGACCCCTAAGAGGATTAAGACTGTATTATTATTATAATAATATATTATTATAGCATTAAATTTTGAAAACATCTGGGAGAAAAGTCACGCATTTGTCATCTATTTTAGAGATACTTATGTTATGTGTTTATGCAATCAATACAATTAGGTAAATCAAGCAATTAGGTAAATCAGCGCATCTAAAGCTGTAAAGATACAATTGTATCTTTACTTTAAGATAGAAAATTAATTTTCTTAAGGTGGAAAAATGTTAAATTTTGATTTTTTCTTTTAAAATAAATAAACGGGGTGAAGATTCTAATAAGCTCTAAGTAAGAAATTAGCGTATAATATTTTCTTTTTTGCTCGAAGAGCAATATTTTTATGAAATATTTTTGAAGTATATATTAATGATTGCTGTGAAAAAAAATATTAAATTGAATTATTTTTTTACCGTATTAAAAAATTGAAGTAAACAAGGAATTGGCATAGAAATGGTCATTGTGGAATAGACTTGAAAAACCTTTAGAAAAACTCATTCCTAAATTTTTAAAAAATTCCTAAAAATAAACATGTTAGATATTTTCACATGTTTTTAATCTAAGAATTTCTAACCTAACCTAGAGTGAAAGATGAGAAAGCTATCCTCACGGTTTAAGCTGAGGGGTCTTGAGAGAAAGTTGTCAAAATAAGGAGTAACAAAATGAATTGAATAATTTTAAGTTTTATTTATTTATTTTTTTTAACGTTTTTACAAAAAATCCTATACAACAATTTATAGGTAGTATGTGATATAAATCCGAAGGCCTTTTTCTTTTCCTCCGTTGCACTTTCTCTGACAGTTATTCTTGTTCAAATTTTAACGTAAGGCATGCATACACCTTTGATTTTGAAACTATTTTGATTGCAATCAGTCAAAACAATCTTTGATTGATTGCAAAAATATTTTTGAATTTACGTTAGATAAAATTGTACAAGAAATGTTTTTAAATTCAACATGAATGTTTTTAAATTCAACAATTCAGTCATGCGTTTGATTTTCTTATTAATACAATGTATTATACATAAACATATTAAACGTTGTATTGCAATACATGATAATTTAGAAACCATGGTTTCTAAATTAAAAACTACAATTAAAACGGAAAAACCAAAGATGTTCAAGAAAAGACACTGATTTAAGGATTCAATGCAGCATCGATAATTTACATGCTTAGAAAAGAATTTCACGCCAATATATTAAGTATATCAATATATCATGTACATTGCAAACGTAAAATAAAAAATATGGAACTAGACATAGCTTGAAATCTTTATTTCCAAACATTATTTCTTTATTTTCTCAAAATGAAAAAACTGGAGATCGCTGGATTTCCCCTTGTTTTTTAAATAGTAATTTAAATATTATCCACGTATATTATCGTTTAATTAAAATTTATTACCCTTTTAATGTTAATATAACATAATTATATACATAAATTTTTTTTTAATGACATTATGAATAAGCATTTCTTTACAATATTTAAAATACAAATATATATACATATATATATATATATATATATATATATATATATATATATATATATATATATATATATATATATATATATATATATATATATATATATATATATATATATATATATATATATATATATATATTAGGGGTAGTCATTTTTAGGGAATTTTTGAAATCGAAGTACATACCCAGCTAAAGTAGGAGCAAATATGCTAAAACTTTGTCAAAATTTTTTTTAGGTCAATCGGGTGACTTTTAAGTCCCCCTCAAGACTAAAGTTGTTAAGAAATTGTACTTCAAAAAAGGAAAAATAGGGTGTGTTCAGGGTGTTTGAGGGGGATTTAAATGAAAAAATTATTTCCATTTTTTTTTTTTTTTTTTGTTATTTGATATCTATATTTTCATTTTAAAAGGGTATGTCATCATGTTTTTTACATATTCTTGGTTAAAACGATATTTAAGAAATCAAAAAATGAAAAGTTTAATTTACGCAAGTGGTTATGAAATCAGTAAATTATGTATTTTCATACTTAAAGTTCATTCAGATGGACAGACGTAAAAATTCCCACTTAAATCAACCAAAAAAACAAACATTTTTGAACTAAACAAGTAATTTACCATTTAGTTAAAATCTTTACAAATACTATCAAGACAAAAATTATGCATTAATTGAAATAAGTATTTTAAAATGAATAACAATTTCCTAAGCCTACAATTTCCTTTTCTTTAATTTAGAGAGTGACATCAGGCTTTCTGATAGTTTTTTTTTTTGTATTATTACTTTTTCCCACACCAAAAACCTTGAAAGTTGACCTTACTTTGTCGACAGTTAAAAGTCTGTTCTGCTTGTCATCCTCATTTTCGAATCTTTGTACAAACTTCTGCATCATTCCGATTGCTCGTTCAGAATGATCATTGACAACAATTGACATTTTGGGAAAGTTTTCAAAATTCTTAAACGAGGACTGGGTGTGCCAATATTGGGGTGGAAGTGACAACCAGTCTCTCACTCTCTGATTATCCAACCCTATCATTGAAAAAATTAAATATGAAAACTCATTAACCAAAAGAGAGAGTGTTGGTACCTTCATATTATTTATGATATTAATCTCGTCTATTCGATCTTTGCTTCTATGTTTAAAAAAATCTGGATCTGGCATTTGGAAGGAAAGCAAAGCATCTGCAATGGCTGTTTTTTTATCCATAGAAATATTTTTATCCAAAAGAGCCAAGGGAATAATCGTTGAATCAAGATACCATGAATGCTTATAAAGAGATGCTAACACTGCGTCTACTGCCTCCGCATTGGAGCAAACTTTTTTATACTCTTTTATCTGAAAGATTGCATCAAGATCAGACGCAGGAGATTGAATTGCTTTATGTGCTTGAAGGTACCACCTTGTGTAAAAACATACTATGAACTCGCAGATGAGTTTTAAATCTTCGCGTAGATTATCATTTTCTTGCACAAATGTCAGTTGCTTGCACAAAAGCTGAAGTTTAAGGTAGTATAAACTCTTGCCTAAAAACCTAGCATGATGAACAGCTCCAGTTTTCTTTAATTTGAAATGTGCAGAAGGGGATAAATACTGCATGGTTAGCTCAGCCAACTCTCTTCGGTCATTCCTCATATTGCATTTTTTAGTAATATAGGTCTCACAGTAATCTAAAGTGTTCCTTGCAGCTTCCTTCAAAACTGTTCCTTCCACGGTTTTCCAATCAAGAGAGGTCAGGTTATTTTCGTCGTATTTGAAGTTAGGGTTCTCAAACATATGTTTAAACTTTACGAATAAAGGACTTTCAGGCCCTACGCTATTCTCTTTTATCACTGCTTCACAGAAATGAACCATTCTAAGCTCAATGATATGATGCCTACATGCTAGTAGAAGAAGGTATTTGTCAACCTCTCTTGCAATCCTAGTAAGTGATCCTTTCTTAGAACCAGTATTACTTGAAGTTGTATCAAAGCATACTCTGCATACTTTTGAAATGAGGTCATATTCTTCTAGTATTTTCATGATTCCTATATACATATTTTCACCTGAAGAAGACGGCAAGGCAGGTACTCCAAGAAGATGCGACACCCCCTCAATATTAACGAGCACAGCTAATCTTTCATTCTTTAGTCTTTTTCCCTGATTTATTTCAAACAAAGTCTTTCCGTCAAAATGAATTATACAGGGATAACGGCTTTTTTCCACGGCCTTCTTTATATCTAATTTAGCAATTTCTGCAGTATCCTTGGCAGTTTTTTTCATCTTCCTTAATGCTGTTGAAGCACTGGCTTTGCATTTTGCGATATCAACTCCACAATCTTGAAGAATTGCTCCAGTTACTTTTTGTAAGACATTGGGGGGAGATATCATTTGCTGTAGCTATGATAGATACATTTCCATCAAAAATATTCTTAGGGACTTTGGCAGTAATGTTGCAATCATCTGCTCTTCTATGATGCCAAACTTCGGGTTCAAATTCTGAATCAGAATCAGCGCTAGTGTCAGTGAAATTTAAGTCTAATTCTGAGGTAGCATCAATCTTCGGAGATTCGTCTTCTAGCCTTGTCCTCTTCCTCTCACCTTCAGAAACCTAAAATTTGTTTTAACATAGTGTATGTGTATTAACAAATAATGTATGTTAAATTAGCAAATTTGAATAAAAAACGTCAAATTAACCCAATAAAAACAACACAAAACCTTTTTGCTAAATTTTCTATCTTCTGATCCCAAACTAAAATATCTCGGTCCTTCCTGGTCTTCCAAAAAAGTTAAATCATCGTGCTTATCTTTATCTGAGCGTTTTTTATCCTTCCTAATTTGGTTCTTTAAATCTGTAAAACCAATCCAAAACAGCTTTTTCAAAAATGAAATAAACTCCCCTTGATTAACCTTGTCTCTAGCTGTTCCTCTGCATTTATTTCTACTCAAATCTGAATACTTCTTGTCCATCTTCATAAGGTTCTTGATAATACTTTTATCTGACATTACTTGAAATCCCGCTTTAAGCCATGGTCTTTTAATTAAGCCTAAAATGCATTCACAATCATCTACTTCACATCTCTTGTAACCCTGAATCTTGTAAGGAGGGCATAATAAAATTGCTGACTTCTTAACATTATGAGGAAGTAGTGATCTTCTGTAGACAATGTGTTGAAGAACATCCATTCCAGTAGGGAGTTGAAGACCTTAAGAAAAAAAAAATCAATATTTTAATTTTTAACAAAAAATTTAAAATTCAAAACAATTTTTTTAAATTAGATATGTACATGTAATAGCTGGTTTAGCCTCATTTATGATAAAAAGTTTGTTTTTGCTTGATCTAAGAAACTTCCTCTTCCCAATATCTTTTACAATTTTTTTTTCCATTTTTGTATTCAATCTAAATATATTTAATGGTCTGTAATTAATTAAAAACTTCAATACAATTTTACTTTATATTGTAATTCAATGATTAACAATCAAGTAAATACGAAAGTTATTTACAAATATAAAATAATGTAACGCAATTTCACGTACAATTTCTTTATAAAAACTCTTAGTGACTTAAAAATACAGTGCAGGATCTTCACCACATTTTCTTCTGCATTATTTTATAAGAATTTTTTTATCTTTGCCCATTTTCATAACCTCTTGCGTAACATAAAATTTTTATTTTTTTCCTTTCGTAAATATCGTTTTAACTAAGAATATGTAAAAAACATGATGACATACCCTTTTAAAATGAAAATATAGATATCAAATAACAAAAAAAAAAAAAAAAATGGAAATAATTTTTTCATTTAAATCCCCCTCAAACACCCTGAACACACCCTATTTTTCCTTTTTTGAAGTACAATTTCTTAACAACTTTAGTCTTGAGGGGGACTTAAAAGTCACCTGATTGACCTAAAAAAAATTTTGACAAAGTTTTAGCATATTTGCTCCAACTTTAGCTGGGTATGTACTTCGATTTCAAAAATTCCCTAAAAATGACTACCCCTAATATATATATATATATATATATATATATATATATATATATATATATATATATATATATATATATATATATATATATATATATATATATATATATATATATATATATATATATATATATATATATATATATATATATATAAATTAGTAGAAAATCACTTAGCAAAATTTTTTCTCATTTTGCTAAGTGATTACTAACTTGTAATTGCTCTGTTCTTTTAAGAACATTGAGCACTCTTTTTGTAGAATACATTTTAAATTGTTTAAATATATATATATATATATATATATATATATATATATATATATATATATATATATATATATATATATATATATATATATATATATATATATATATATATATATATATATATATATATATATATATATATATATATATATATATATATATATATAAAAAGGAAGATCACTAAAAAAAAAGTATATTGTTAAATCTTCGATTGTAAAAATGAGTTCTTTCAACTTTCGTTTAAAAGAAAAATAGTTAGTTTGATGAATAAAATCCTCAGTAAAATTTTTTAAAACTATTTTTATTCCATGAGAATGGTCCGCGATATTCAATACAAAAATTGAAAAGATTTTTTTGAAAAATGGATTGCTTAATAAAATTATCATTGCGTAAAATGTATTTATTTTTATCTTTTGGTGAATATAAATTATGGAAAGAAATCTGGGATGAATTGGTTTTACATTTAAACATAAAACAAAAAATATTAAAAATATTAAACTCATATATATTAAAAACTTTCATCATAATGGTCTTGAAAATATATAAGACGTGCATGTAGCATATATAAGAGGCATGTAGCTTCTGCTGACAATAAAGAGGTTTAAGTTTATTTTTATTTGTACTACCCCAACCAATGTTTTCATAGTTTATATGACTATGAATAAATGAGTGATATAACTGTGCCAAAGTACGTTTATTTAAAACATTTCTTGCTTTGTACAATATTCCCATACTTTTTGAAATTTTACTCGATAAGTTTTTAATGTGATTTTTCCATGTAAGATTTTCATCTATACAAACACCAGGAAAGTTGGTTACTGTTACTTTTTTAATTTGTATATTGCCAATAATAAGTTAGGATATGTTAATTGGCAGTTTATGTTTTTTGATAAGAGGATGGAAAAGAATCCATTTGAATTGATCAATGTTAAGAGATGTTTGTTAGTCTTAAACCAGTCAGATATTTTGATTAACTCCATGATCACGTGATGAAATAGAGTAGGAATGCTTTTGTGTGACATAAACAAATTGTTTACAATTAGTTAAATAACTTTTCAGCCATTTTAAAACATTGTCTGTTATACCATAATACTTTAATTTTTTAGCAAGAATTTTATGATTAAGTGTATCATACACTTTTGCTAAATCAATAAATATTCCCATTTAGAATTGTTTAATGAGTCTGATATACTTCTTGTAAGCTGAATAATAGCATATTTTGTTGAATTTTTTTTTTTGAATCCATTATGCATGTTATATAATAATTTGTTTGGTGATTGTATATCTGTTGTCAAAATTCTTTTTAAAATTTTAGAAAAAAAACAGAGGATGGAAATTGGATGATAATGTTTTACATTAGTTTTTTCTCCTTCTTTGAATATAGGAATAATTTTTACTATTTTTAAATCATCAGGAAAAACTCCTTGATTAATAGAGCATTTAAAAATTCGGAAAAGTATGTCTTTTAAAACTTCAAAACAGCTTATAATAATATTCCCATTGAAATCATCAGAACCAACAAGCTTTATTTGACTTTAACAATTTAAAAGCACTTTCAAACTCTTCAAAAGACAAATCAAAATAACTTAGATACGAGTTTAGAGGGTCATACGATTTTAGAGGGTTATGTTACTTTTTTGAATTTTTAAGAGTTTCGGGCTAATTCCTGGAATCTATGGTAAAGATATTTTTTGATGAAATTTGGAGTATCAATATTTTTTTTTTTATTATTATGTAAATTTTCTTAAGTATTTTTTATAGCCATTTTCTACAAAAACATCAGTTAGAAATAATAACTCTAGTTCAATATTATTATCAGAGCATAAATATAATGCTCTGATAAGAATAATAAATATCAGTTTACTGTATGTTTTTTAACCGAAATTTTGGTTTTTACCTAATTTATACCGAAAAGTACCGAAACCGAAATTTCGGTATCGGTTTAAATTGAAATTTCGGCCAAAACCAATCCCTAAACAGAATTTCGATCACCATTTTCGGTCGATCACCTTTTTCGGTCGATCACCATATATCACCATTATTTATGGATCTTAACGGTAAAATTGTACGTTTTAGTTGTTAATAATAGTTATGTCAAGAAAGTTTAGCGTGTTGTTTTCATTTTCGATTTCCATGGTGTACACTGTGAAAAATTTAACGCTAACATAACGGTTAGATAACGGTTAGTGAAAAACTTGGCATTATGCTTACCGCTATGTTAGTAAAAAATATATCTTAAGCGTTATGTTTCCCAAAATTATTTACATATTTTTTTGTGTTTGAAAGGCCCCGATGGGCGTTTGTTTTTAAAAGTTACGATCTAAATGTACTTTAAATGTCTTTTAAACGTCTTTTAAACATTAATGTTTAAAAGACGTTTAAAAGACATTTAAAACACATTTAGAACGTAACTTTTAAAAACAAATGCCCGTCGGGGCGTTATGTTTTACCATAGTCATAATAACAGATAGTCTGAAATTAATAAAAAAAAGTTTATTTATCGTGCACAGACTACCAATAAGTGCACAAAAATTTGTTATTATGACAATGGTTACCCGTTATGTTAGTTTAATTACGTATTAATATGACATCATTACGTATAAATATGACATTATACATATTTGTAAAAAAGTGGAATTTTTTTGCAAATTGTGATAAATGTTTAAGATACTTTTCTATAAGCAAGAGTGCTCAAATAACTTTTATATTAACACTATATTTTAACAGTATATTTTATTATATTTTAGGTTACTGAGGCTCATACTTTTAATATAAATTGTTACTAATATATTTGATTGGTTTCCATTTAATATTACTAAATAATGTTATACACACATAAAATTAATAAAGATAATAATATTACAACATTGTTTATATATATATATATATATATATATATATATATATATATATATATATATATATATATATATATATATATATATATATATAAAGTGTTTGCATTTCAGTATACTGAATAAATTTATGTTGGTTATTAAGTAATTTTGAAATGTTTTCAATAGTAGAGTTAAAACGAGAATCAGAGTCATTGACATATTTTTTAAATGACTTTACGTGAATATTATTGGAAATCGCTTGTGCAATAGCATTACTTTTGTGAAACTGTAAAAAACACTCCGCAACTACTACCATAAGTCCTAAATCAATAGGTCCAGAATCTTCTAGTTCATAAATATCGTGTTCAAATAAAAGTAACAATTCAAAAGGCATATCTAAAAGTGTTTTTATTTCATCAAAATTTTTTATGTAAAACTAGGATCATTATTTAATCTTTTAATAAGGACAATTATTACTTCCTTTACTGGAATTATTACTTCCTTTACTGGAATTATTACTTCCTTTACTGGAATTATTACTTCCTTTACTGGAATTATTACTTCCTTTACTGGAACTGAAGGATATAAATTAATGATATCAAAAGACACTTGGATTTCATCTTTGTCAATATTCCATGATTTAACTAAGTTTACAAATTGTTGAAAGTTTTTTAAATGTGTATTGTTCTTATTGAGGGTGGGTTGTATCATATCAGTTAAGAATTTTTAAATTTTTAATGTAGCCGTTTCATTAGTGCTCACAATAACTCGCATCGTTTTGTTCAGGTTTTTGGGCTTTTATAACTCCATACAAACGAGGTGTTAAAGCATCACTCGGGTAAAGATCTTTATGTTCTTTAACCGTAAATTGACCTGCTTTATTTAGTCTTCTGATTGTGTTTTGAACTTTACGAATGACTTGTGGAGTTGGATCATAGTTTAATTTTTTTGTTTTTCCTCCTAAATGTTCTTGTATTTTGGCTAAAGCACTATCAGAATTAATTTGCACTATTCCAAATCCTTTGTCGAACGGATATATCTTTATATTATTGTCTTTCTTAATCTCATAAAAAGCTTTACGTTGTTTCTTTATCTTTATCTTTCGCTTTATGTTGTTCTTTATCTTAATTTTTATAGGCTTAGCCAATTTATAAAATTCTCAAAACATCTTGTCTTAATTCAATTCCTTCAGAAATTTTTTTTTGTTATAGGGGAGAGTGGGGCACCATGACGTACTTTTGGTTTTGATTTTGAAACTACTTTGTTAAACACATTTTTTTTAAGCGATTAGTGCAATTTGTAGATAAACCTTTTACCTTCAAAATTAAATTCTTAAATTACCAAAGTAAAAGCGGTCGAACTTGTAAAAACTTATTAAGTAAAAGTTGAATTTTGTATCAAGGTACCCCACCCATGGAGTAACTTGATATAGTCTATGGGGCACCATGAAACAGGATAATAAAAAAATTATAAAACGTAGGAAA